ATTCCTGCTTGTAATGCAGAATGCATCACTAGATCTTAATGCTAGGTAAAAAGTATTGTATAATGTACCTGAGAATCTATTTATTATTCATAGATTCATAGAGAAAAAAAGACTAGTTCCAAAAAAAGACTCAAGCACTTCCAACAGGATTTCTGCAGAATTCAGACACTTAACTCCAAAATGCCAACCCTGCAAACCCTGAGCTGCCACAGGCACAAATAATCAACAGCTTCCATATTTTGTCACCTTTAAGGATTTTTAGATACCTCAACAATCTGTTGCGTCCATGTGCAGAGATATCCAGACTTGAGAACTTTACCTCATAAATAATACCTGCAGTAAACATACTAATATGCTGAATACTGAAGAGTGGGAGGTAGGGAAATAGTCCAGTTCCTTGCCATGCCCGTTAGGTTCCAACCTCATGTGTCCGCCCATCAGAAAGGCTCTGGCATCAAACTGTAGGCTGCATGGGGTAGAGCTGCTCTCCACCCCGGCTGCTTTAGCAGTACCCTTCTCCTAAACCGGAGACTGATTTAGTTGTACTGAGAGATCTCAGTGGCCATGCGGTGGATCAGCATTGCAAACCAGATGTTTGCACTGTAGGATTTGGAGAAGCCCTGTACTCTATTTTCTGTTTCTCTGTGAGTGGATTTTATATAAAAACTGTTTCATGGACTGTGTTCCTTAGATATAAGTTGAATGTGTTTAGCCTTAGCTTCCTGTCACTGTTCCTCATTGAGCTAGTTTATACTAGACCAAGGATTCATCTAAACACCTGGTGGTGTCTTTCTGTGGTGTATTTAGTTCAAGTAATTTCTCAGTTTTCTATATGAAAATTTCGACAGAGTGAACTCTGTAGGTCTCCAGCTGCAGTGCACATCCTCCATCCTTCAGATAATTTCTGTTCCTCCTTCTTTCATTTTTCTTCATTGTTCTGAAAAGGTAGATGATTCCTGTTATTATTTGGAGTAATCTAGTATTAATGCAAGCAATCTATTACAGATGCTGCACCTTCCTATTCTTGCGTTTGTCCTCATCATCAGCCATTTTCTCACAAGCCCTTTTTGCTGCATCGAAGCGCTGATATCTCCTGTGAAATTCTTTCATGCTGTGATCTTCAAGCCTTCTGCATTAGAGCTTTCCTCAATTGTGTGTGTACATCAGTGGTTTGCAGAGCAGTGACTTTGTATGAGACCAGTATTAAAACACAATTTTTAAAAAGATCTAGTTTACCAAGGGATCTGGATTGCCTTCTCTCACCATCACTGGCTATTCTATCAGTCTTTGTGTTATCTGCAAATTACCTTCGAAGTGAGTTCGAATTTACTTCTGTATCTAGTGAAAATGTTACTGCCCCTGTTACTGACACTAACACTGAAGCCGTAGTGTGGCTTTCACTTGCATATTAAACTCATTTCTTCCCAAGGACGGAAAAGCTCTCTTCGTGCTTTATATTCTGGATCTATCAAACTAAAGGCTGTCTGTCTTCCATTGCAACATTCACAAGAAATCAACTCTGTGTGAGCCAAACCTTCTCATCTTTTTACAAGAAGCACATCTCCTACCTGCTGAAAGTCCATTCATGTATCCAAGGAAACAGGTTGTTCATTATGTCACCTCCGAAACTACTTAATGACTCATCCTTCGTTTCAGCGCCAGACAGGTGCAGCAGTGAGGAATGTGGCTTCTTTAAATCCCCACTCAAGTTACAGAGTGCAAAATTTACAGCTTTGTTTGGCGTAACCACTTTCGGTCCATGTTCATGGACATAAGTCTGCACCTTATCTGGGAGCTGATTGTTCACTGCCCCCGGCAGTGGTGCAGAAGAGGTAACAGCAAATATCCTGCTGCTAGCTGAGAATGTCTACCTCTGTCTTCGAACACATGAAGGTCCTGGTTTTGCCTGCTGAGTCCACTTTCAACATGCAGCTAAGGACACTTCCCCTGATGCAGGCATTCAGCACGCTGATCAGCACAGCAGATACTATAAGGTGAGAAGAGAGCATTGCTTGGTCCATTAAACCGGGCAGCACCGTGACTGGTGCCATCTCATGCTCCATGAGGTGCTGCTGCTGCTGCTGATGGACGCACAGCTTGGTGTCCTGGTCATTCCATACCCACATAACTGCAGGTTTCTTGGCCCTTTATTCCAGCAGATCAGCCTCTGAGAAGTCATAGCTAAACCTTAGTGTCCCTATATTGCTTTAACTAAAATTATGTCGCACAACTGTCATGACCAAGCCTTATTTGTAAGACATTGGTGTAAAAAGAACTTGATTCCACTGAGCTGGACACAGTGCATATACTAAAATGCAGTTTTTCAGGTGAAGAATTTATATTCAGGTTGTTAAAGCAGTCAGAGGTGATAGAAATTAACAAGGTCCCACTCTACGGCGGCAGGGCTTGGGAAAGAACCCATTTCAAATCCAGTCCAGGCTGTATCCAGACGACCATGTGCTTGTCCAGCACTGAGTATGGAAAATGAACTTGCCTGGGCTTTTCTGAATATCACCAAGGTGTTGTTCATTCAGATCTCTAGCTTTCAGCTTTTAACACCCATTTATGTTCCTGCAGTGTTAGGTGCAATCTTCATGAGTTCACCTGTTTACATCATCACATAAGATGATACCTCTGAGCCACTCTCTGATTTAAAACTGGGACGGGTTTGGCTGCTCAGAGAGCTGATAAAGGTTTCTCGGTCTCCCGTAGGAAGAGAGCTTGTGTTGCCAGCCTCCCCCCTTACTGCCTCTGTCACAGTGGATTCAGAGGTGGCACATGGGGGAGTGCTGGAGGTAACTGGGGTCCTGGTGCTGTACTCCCCAGTGATCCCCCAGTTTGCTAGGAGAGACTCCATACAGACAAGCAGGAGAAGGTACTAGCCTCTGTATTAGTGGAATAAGATCAGGGCCCGGGATCTAGGAAGCATCTAGGAAGTATCCCAATTACTGCTCCTCAGCCTGTAATTTGGGAAATTCTGGAAACTCAAAGTGAACAGCTTGCAAACTTGGGGTAATTAGACATAAAACTGAAGTGGGGATAAAATAGAGAAAAGCAAAGAAAGCTTTTTTCATTGTTATCATCTACTAACATTTTTATAATTTCAATTTAAAGCCCAGAATTCTCATATAACCTATCGCATTCAAGTAATAACAAGTGAAATTTTATTAGATTTCCTGTCTTTATGGACTTCTCAAGATTGTGGAACTGATTTGTGGTCTTGCCTATTACAGTTACACACCAGAACAATTTTATTTAACCTTTAAAAAGACCACATTGCCTGAAATTCACTGTGCCAGGTTTGGGTTTTATTGAAACGTGCACATCATGAATAGGGCAACTAAGCCTGATATGTCGGTGTTTTTTCGTAGGTCAGTGTGTGCCATCATAACATAAACAATGACTTGCATGTGCATGTGTCGAATCTTTTTCATTTAGCTTGTCATATACTGGAATGCTGTGATGGCCTGGGCCAGGATGTCATCTGCACCATAGGGCAAGCATTTGAGCTTCGATTTAAGCAATACTTGCGATGCCCATCTAAGATACCTACTTTTCATGATAGGTGAGTATGATTGCAGAAGACTGCTAAAGGATCTTCTTTAGCTTTGTATTTACTTATTAAAACGTGCTCTGGACAAAGTTGCTGGAGACGGACAGGATTTAAAAACTTTAAAAAGAAATTTCTGCTGAATTAGCAAAGCAGGATGGATATGAGAGGAGCACAGTCATTTTAAAAGAATGGGCTAAATATGGATTTCACAGTGAACTTACTGAAATGATAATGTGTTTTCTGTTGTAGTTAGTAGGCCAAATTGGATGGCCAAGAATGGATGTTATTTGTGGCATTTCGTCATTGTTGTCACTGTCATGGCAGCTCTGTCTATTTAGATGAAATAAGCTAGAGTTGCTAAGCTTCCAAAATGACTAGTGATGTTTCACTATTTTTGATATTAGCCAGGGTGAAGTTTTTAGGAATATGATGTATATTGTACAGAGGCTTTGACTGCGTTGTTCTCTGGAGGATACAAAATCTGTCTGCTTGTATGTGTTTAAAAGGCTGGGATATAGCATTCTGTTTTCTTTGGTGAGCTGTGTTTTTGACATGGGTTGCTATATGCTTGCCAACATTAGTATAAATCCCAGTGAGCTGGTACCCTGTGTAATCTCTTATATTAGTAAAATCAGTGTACAGTGAATATAAAATGCTACTAACCTAATCTGGAAGCATTCTGTACTCACTTTAGACTTGTGTAGATGACTGTTAAAAGTAGACTAAAACCACAGATCCAATCTCTTGGCTTTGTGAAGTACTTCCAGATTTATATTGGTGATAGAGCAGCCATAATTAAAGACAAACTTTTAGGCCTTAGTCAATCAATCAAGTAATAATATTACAAATGCTACTGTAAGGTTAAATCAAATTGGTAATGCAGCTTATAGTGGTCTTTAAAGCTAAGTAAAGATACCCTTTACTCAGCATAAAGAATTTCATCCATTGCAAAGGAGGTTTAGATGAAGTTTGTCTAAACAGAGAAGGTCTGCTGCATGATCCATCATTGCTTCCTGACTTTTACAATGGTAGCTGAATTGTCAAAATAACATACAGCAGTGATCCCCTGACAGGCGGTCTTAACAAGCTGCAAGTATCTGTAAGTGCTTTGCAAGTGAGGAGCAAAATAAAGCACTCACTTTCTTACAGGGTGCAGAGTTTTGATGAGCCATGGGTGGAGGAAGATCACCAGACAACAGAACATCCCTATTACAACAACATCCCAAATAAAATGCCCCCCCTTGGCGGCTTCGTTGATGCCAGGCTCAAAGCAAGACTTCCCACTGCTGCAGATACAGCTCAGGTCAGTGCAATTGCATCTCAGTCCTCCTCCTGCTGGATCCAAACTTTTTGAAAAATGTGTATTTTAAGATGGATACATTGGGACTATTTATAGCTCAGACGCCTTCATGTATGGCCCATTTCCTTTTGATGGGCATTGAAGATCTAGGGGGCAACAAATTAGGCCGGTTCAGGACAAACTAAAGGAGGTGGGCTCCTCATGGTGTTAAAAGATTACACAGGTTCAAGGAAGAGAAATCCACTGAGGGCTATGACATTTGTAGAAACCATGTTTGCTTTGGAGAGTATCAAATAGTGCACACTAACTGGGAAAGATTTGATGCAGAACTGTTTAAACAATCCAGTGCAGTCATTACTAACAGTTGACTGTGTTCGTAACCCAGCAGTATTCAGCCAGGTTCCTAGGTAAGGTTTTCTACCTCACGTTGAACTGACCTCAGCTTGGATATTTCTACCAGCGTTGCTGTGGGAGGTTTGACTGCAGTATCAACGTAGCCACCTAGAGGAGTTTTCAGATCCAGCACAACCCTGCTTAAATCCAGAGAAGCCTTGCCTGTAGACAGCATCCATCCTCCCTTCCACACCCGAGTGCGTCTCCCGGTACCAATGTGAGTCTTTCAGCTCACGGTGCTGGGGGTGTCTTCTGATTCCAGGTGTGTTTCTGCGGAACGTTTTTCCTAGGCACAGTTTGTCAGGGCTCACTATGTGAAGACAAATGTACCAGAGGAGGTGATGTATCATTTGGGATCGCAGGGGTTAATAAAAGCAAGAAGCAGGGAAGTTTACATGAAGGTCACTGGTAATATCTTAATCCTACACAAATGCGTTTGTGAAATAGATATTCTGACACCATGATGAATTGGAAATGAAGAGTGGGAGTACACAGAATACAACCAAGGAAATTGTCAGAGCCACTCATAACATATCTGAGCATTTTAAAGGCAATTGAAAATTTCTTTGCATGTGTGTCCATTCTAGACTGGAACAGGAGTGGGAGGAGATCAAACCTATTACCAGAGTCGTCACTTAGGAGAGAAATTCGGTGAAGACTGGCATCAGGGGCCTGTTAGGCAAGGTGAGTTTTGCTAGTTTTAGCTGTAATACTGCAGGAGGTCTTGGGTGGGCAAAGTGTGTGAAAGTCTGATGCCTCAAAGTCTTAAGGCAGTGAACTGCATTTTGTTGATAGATTCCCTTTGTCTGAATTTTAGCACTGATATCAGTGAAAAGCATTTGCTAATAACCTCCGGATGAATTACTAAATTCACACCTTCATAAAATCTTATCTTTTGCAGAGCAGTTCATAGAGTTGCCTCAAACCTTCAGCTGTCTAGCTTGCCATGTCTTAAAACTCCATGGTATTTAAAGACGGGCCGCATGGTCCGTTCTGAAATCTGACCCACTGGGGTATGGAAGATGGAGTTTCCAAAGGAAGAGCCTACAGTCAGAAGCTTTTTTAAAATGTGTGGCAATGCATGTGTTTGCACATGATCTCTGCTCCACGAATAACAAATAATGCATAGTGTTCTTTTTGTTGTTGTCTATGAATTTTAAGCAAATCACATCAAAACACATGTGTGAAATTTCACCCCTTCCACCTTTATGTGTCTCCTGTGTTTCTGGGGACACTTTAGTTTCAAATGCCAGAATATGTTGTTAATCTGCACAGATTTGAGGATTTTACTCCATTTCCTCTTCTCATGACTTTCCAACTGAGTATCAGTTTTGAAACTGACAGTCTTTATTTACAAAATTTTCCTTTCCTCCTGAATAACATCCCCCTCAAGCCCTCATTGAAACAAAGTTCTGAATCCATTCATCAACATTTTTTTCCTACTAGATCCTGCAGTTATTGACTTACATCTATCATTCCAGAGAATTTTAAACTGTGGTGATGGGGTGTGATGTTATCTGGTCATTATAACAACACTGTTCCGTCAAAGACAAAAAAAAGAAGACAAAAAGTCTTGAATTTTCTAGGATCTCTGGATATTTGTAGTATGTCGGAAGAGAAATCACAAGTAACCCCAACAGCACAGATGCCAACATACGTAAACACCCAGAATATAAATACAGAAGATCTGTTGGCACTTCAGGCAGATGCTGAAAATATCTTCAGTGGAACAGCAGATGATACCAAAGAGAGCAGCAGCCCAGGAAAAGATCTGTTTGACATGAGTGAGTCCCCTTCTTATTCACTTTCTTTCTAACAATCGAACCAATATGCTTGTGCATTAGTTCTGTATAAAAATAAATCTAAAATTCTCCAAATTTTAGTATTCGCAGTGGAGTTATGGTGAATTTTAGAATTCATGGTGTTTTCATATCTGACTGAGTTAAAAGAAGGGTGGCCAAACATTTGAAGCTAGTTTGTGTTACATCTGAGTTAAGCTGAGTTGCAGTCTATGTTGTCCTTAGCATCACAGGCAACCATGTCAGAAGAAAAATAAATCAGGAGGCTTGTCATGCCGGGAAGTGAAGGAGTGAATGGCTGGCGAATTTGCTCCAGCCTGTCCTGTGGATGTGTTACTAGGGATTCAATGCATACTACAAAAACTTTGTGCAAGAGGAAAGCTGGGAGGGAAATTAAAAGGCTGTGTTATCCCTTGCTCTGCATAGGCCTACTATCCTATCTAGCTATCTGTTCCAACTTTGAAGTTAGCTTTTCTTAAATCAGAACCATAACCATAGCTGTGAAACAATGGTTTAAGAATCAGTCATAATTTGATGTTGGTGCTACCAATACACATTGTTTTCAGCCTTGAAGAGATAGTTAACAGGAAATACAGGGAAAGCAGTTTGATGCACAGAAAAATTTCTTCGTTTTTCTACTCTTCCTACCTCCAATCAGTTGTTGATACGTGATTTATTTAATTCAGTTCACATAATTAAAAGGCAGTGAGACAAAGCAAATGATGCCTGTATGTTATTTGTAAAATCACATATCTACATTTCTGTTACCTCAGTATGCATAAAACTGTCTTCCTGGCACGTTTTTGCTGAGATATGGCTCTATTTCCACAGCTTAAGGAGATTTGGGATTAAAAGAAAGGAGAGGGAAAAAAGTTGAGGGAGCATCTACCTGTGAATATAGATCTGAAATGAGAAAATTCTGCTGTCTGAAATCAGGGATGTTAACCTTGATTTCTAACATGCTGCGCCTTTAAAACATGCACATACTTACCTCTGGTTTATACATTCTTTTCCTAAAAATAGGGAAACCTGATTTCTTATGGTCCAGCCTTCATTAATCTTCAGTAACCGTTGGATCATTGGGGAAAAGTAGTGTTAGAAAATTTGTCAACTGGCCCTAAGTTAGTGGTTTGTCATGGTAAACATGTGCTGGGCTTTGTGCAGACTGCAACGTAGTGAAGACATATATAAGCTGGTTTTAAGAATTAGCTGAGGTATCAACAAGCTGCGACAGGACAGCATTTACCCTATTTCTCTGAGCTAAATTAACCTCTCTGCAGCCCCTTGCAAACATGGCTTTGTACTCCTTGCATCTGAGCAGTCTGTTTAGAGCTGGTGTATTGCTTCATGGTACTGCTCTGCAGATGTCCTTTAGTAAGTCTAGTGGGCACAGAAGAATCTTTTTAATATGCACTAGTTGGCCAGGTGAAGGTCTTACAAGGGTAAATAGCTTCTGATAGGTCAGTACAGCATACAACAAAGGACGCACTGAGCTTATTCACTATTTCTGTAAGACTGCTGGAGTCTGTAATGGCACATCTTTTCATTCCACTCTATAGAAAATAACACTGAGTTCAGGGTTTAGCTGAGGTTTAAAAGATACTTCTCTGAAGCTGATTTCAGCTAGGTAAATCATGGTAAAGGTGTTAGCCTGTGTCTATGTTGCAAAGCCCTCTTCCTAGGTGGAGGCTAGGGGTAGGTTGAGTGGTAAGTGTGACTGATCCGTTCTAGACATACCCTTGGGCTGGAGACTCAGTAATGGATAATTTTTAAATTAATATGTTGCTTGAAGAGAGACCAGATATGAGTATAATGACTTGGGTACCCATATTACACAATTTATTCAAAATGAAACTGTCTGATGTACATGGCAAGACAAAAAGAGAGCTCTGCCCAGTTCCAGGGCATATAAATGCAGCTGTTGACAATAGACATTACTGAAATAAAATCGCTACCTTTCAAAAGCTCCTGCCAAGGTTCGCTCTGATTTTTTATCAGCATCTTTCTGTGCGTAACATACATTTTTAACATATTACACTCCTTGGTCTTAATCAGTAGGCCTAGCAGTACATCTTCCCTCATTTTTTTCATAAGGATAAATACAGTGGCCATAACACAAAATAAATCCTGTTAAAAATGACTGGAATATCAGCATTTCGTAACATGATTTACCTCTAAACGATCTTGCCTTTGTTTCTATTTCCATAACCAGAACCATTTGAAGATGCCCTCAAGAACCAAACATCTGAGGCTACATTGAGTAAGTCCACCTCCACTGGATGCACCAGTCCCCTTTTATCCAGAGAAGCTGAATGCGCTGTAGCCAAAGACCTGAGTACAGAGCCGTGGTATCAAGGAGAGATGAGCAGGAAAGAAGCAGAACAGATGTTAAAAAAATGTGGAGACTTCCTCGTGAGGAAGAGTACCACGAATCCCGGCACCTATGTGCTGACAGGCATGCAGAACGGACAAATCAAGCATCTTCTTTTGGTGGACCCAGAAGGAACTGTAAGTGCTGATTCCTAAATAATATAGGAGGTTTCTGACTCTACACATTTTCTCTAAATGTGTTTAATCTTGTTTACAGCTTATTCACAACTGATCATAAGTACAGTCTCATATCTCTACTGTGCCATCACATCTCTAATTTTCTCCCTGATGTGTAGCAGGAGACCCACTGCATGGTTTCTGCATGCTGTAGGGAACTTCAGGGACGTGATTCCCCAGCAAGTTCAAGCGTTGGCCACTGCAGTACAGTTTTAGTCAAACGTGCAGCTAAGGCACTTCTTTAGCCTTCCTGCCGTGAAGCTGCTGGTGGCTGTGCAAGTTCAGGCAGCCTGCGTGCTGGCCATTTCCACGTGACGTCTCTGTCAGCCGGGATACGGACTTGGCCCTCTGTGTTTTCCTGCATGTAAGCCCAGGAGACACCTGGGGTAAACCTGCTCCATCTCTTTGCTGCGCAGGGTCTCCCTTAGCCCAAAAAGGGACCCTCACAGAAGCAGGATGGAGAGGGCAAGGGAGCTCCAGTTTTCTGTAGCTGTTCCTGTCCTGCTTCTGGGGGAGGCTTATTCTCATCTGAGAGAATGAAAGCGTTGCCACACGTTTTATTCTTGGCTCCTGGTAGCTGAGAGTGGGCAACTCCTCTTCCTCTGTAAAGGACAACTTTAGCTGACGAGCCCCAAAGTACATGAGAAACGCTGGTAAAGGAGTTGGACTGTTGGCATCTGTTTCAGCTGAGAAACCTGCGGCAAACCCGCCGAGTTATGCCGGTCCTGCAGTCGGTAACGCTGCGGTGAGGAATGCCCATGGTACTTGTTGTAATGACGTTTGCCACATGAGGGCAGTCAAAGAATGGTTTTGCACTCTTTAGGTGCCGACAGCCTAGTCCTGCTCTTGACCGGGCCACCAGCCTGGGGGACTGGCCCTACACCTCTTGGGGGGCGTCCTCCTCCGGTAAGCTTTTGCCAAGGTTTTGTGAGTCCTGCAGCAGGGCCCCTTAATTCTGCGTTCAACATAAACCCACAAATAGTTCTTACAGGGTAATGAGTCCCAGGACATTTTCCTCCTGTAGGCAAAGGACAGAGCCTCCCCATCTTTTCTGCGCTGCCTCTAAGAGCAGCACTAGTTTGCTGACCACCTTGTGTAGGGACCTCCTTGTTCTCTGCACCTGCCCCCTCCCTCAGCCTACTTGTGACGTGCCATCATGACCCAAACGGCTCTGAAGCTTCTCGCTCAGGAGGCATTGCTTGATAACAACGGCGTTTCTGCAGCTGTATTTAGGTTAGCTGTGCTATCTATATGATTTATGGGATCCTGACACAGCTCCTGAGCAGAACTATTTGTGACTTTTCAGAGCAGAGAATCGTCAATAAAATGCCAGTGTGTGGCCAGCTGCAGCAGCGTGCGAGCGGCTTGCAGTTCTTCTGCTTAGTTGTAAACACAGATTCACACAAAGGCTGACTGAAAATTCATTTCACTCACAAATTAACCAGTGACGTGGTGCAGCTCTTAAGGGTGTGTTTTCAGAGCTGAGTTAACTGTACAATTGCTTCTGCTCTCATCCAACTGACAAAAAAAAAAAAAAAAGAAGAAGAAGAAAGAAGATCTCTAGTTCAGGTAAGGGATGCTTAAAATAGAGGGCTGCAGGATTTTTGCTGTATTTAGAATTAGGGCTTGAACTCTGGTTGATGGCAGACCATACTGCTTATGATAAGGAAACTCTCAACTCAGTTGAATGGACTGAAAATGTGTTAATCTGATTATAGATAAGGAGAGTTACTGCTATTTTAAATAATATTTTACATTTTGAAGATACAGTTTTGAATAATTACAGAAAGTGATGTTCAAAGCTGTATGTTTCAGAAATCGGGCGATTCAGAAATTGGGTTTTCTTCAGTGATGCAGCTACATGCAGACTGTGGGCAGATAGCATCACTTGCCATCAAAGTTGTTAGTTTCTTTTTTTTTTTTTTTTTTTTTTTTTAAACCCTGTGCTGAGTTTCTAGCAGTTTTGCCAGAACTTAATGATGAAGTCCGAAATATTTCAAGCAAGGTGTCCACCACAGCATAAGCTGGTTTTGGAAAGTTTTAACAAAAGTTGTTCTCTCTTTCTGAGAACAGTTCAAGGAAAGCGGATGACATGCCACACTTCAGAGGAGTGTTCACAGGCTTTTGCTTGAGGCAGTGTACAGCCATCCCAATACAACGCTTTACTGCAGCATGACATTCACTTGAGAGGACCTCTGCTCTGCCTGTGGAAGCTGTATGCCTAACTTGCTTTAAGCATAGGAAGGAAATGTTTTGTGAAGATCTGGTTAAATGATTAAAGATTGTTTTGTAATATAGGTTTTGACCCGTCCTGATTTTTGTCAGTTTTAACTTGCAATATAATTTTCTGTTATCATGGGTGTAATAAATTACTTAGCAGGATGCCGGTGCAGAGGGCTGGTGAATGGGCTAGACAAGTGATGCTCCCTGGCCTGAAATGTTCCAGTTTCAAAGGTACAGGGGTGTGCCATGCAGCACAGGGAAAACCCAAGCCAAGCACTCCTCAGGGCTGGATGGATTTTGGGGAATGGAATTTTTCCAGAAACTGGGGAAGAAGGTCTTTGTTAAGGAAAGCACAAAGATGCTGAGGTGTGTGGAGAACAGTTGGGTTCTGGCATCTCTGGAGGGACAGCTCTTTCTAATGGAAAAGGTGAAAACGCTTAAAAGAAGCAGGTGGTCTTTTGAAGAAGAAAATTTGATCTAAATATCCAACTTAAAGTGAAACAAAATGTACAGAAAGTTTTCAAGCAGCCCTACTCAAGAAGAGTAATAGTAGTAGACTGACGCATGGGTAGCATGCAAAATATCTGTTTGGAGAGAATAGAAGGAGAAAGAGACAAAACAGAAGAAAAATTCCAGAAATGCCAGATTTCCATTGATTTTTATGGGAGAGGAATCAGTCTCTAAAACGTAATTAACTGTGTCATTTTATTCTTAGAGAATTTTAGCGAGAAGTTAAGGGAAAAAGTTCTTTGCTCTTTAATCTATCTTCTTGCATCCTTTTTTGAAGGTTCGTACAAAAGATCTTGTCTTTGACAGCATAAGCCATCTCATCAATCATCATCTCGAGAATAAGTTGCCAATAGTTTCTTCTGGGAGTGAACTCTGCCTGCAGCAGCCTGCTGAGAGGAAACACTGACTCCAGATAACTATTTTAGTTATTGTAATTTGCAAGCTATAACTGGTGGAAATTGCAGATCTGAAAAAAACTTGTGCATTAAAAAAACCCCAACATGTTCACATGTATTTCACCAGTATGTTTTTCTTTAGGTTTAAGAAGCCCCATTGCACACAGTACACTTGAAAATTCTCAATGCTTTATGTAGACATGAAGTCACAGCAGAAGGCTTTCTTAAAAAGTAATTTCGATAAAATTGTTCAGATTCTCTAATGTGAATATTGATAGTGTATATATACACATTATATACATAAATACAGTATATATTTATATTTTTCAAGTGAGTCTGTTGATGGTATAGAACTATCTTCTGTGCCATGTGTTTTTACTAGAAGAAAAATGCCAATTGTGATTGTTCAGATAAAAATAGAATTCTGCAGTCTTAATTTCTTGAGAAAATGAATATTACGAATCTTATTTCTGATTTTACCTAAGAAGCACAACTATGAGGATTACAGATAGATTATGTTGGTTAACCATGGAAGGAGTCGGAATTCAGCAACTAGTATTCCAACTCGGAAATATAGCATAAAATGATTTTGAAAAGCATTATTCAGTGTCACTGATATCAAAAGCATTTCATCTTTCTGATGTCAACTTTGAATTCTTATACGATGCTACTCAAAACATTTGTATCTTGCTTTAACAACGATTTGCTGTGATCTCTCTGTATATGAGGTTTGTGCATTTGATTTTTCTAATGATAATATAATAATATTCTGTAACTTTAATTTATTAATTTCAGTGCTAAGGTTATTTATAAGTAGTTCTCTGCTTATGGTGAAGATCTAGGTGTCCTTGAATACCAGTCTCCAATGAGATGTTACGTACCGATTAGGCAAGTTCAATTAACTTGTGTTTAATACATTTAATGCAAGATGTACGTGGTTGGTCAAAGACATATCTGACAAATCTTTTCTTCTTATAAACAGTGAAAACTATCATGACTCAGTGGTCAGTTTTGCAAATGATGTCACTTGCTTTTACCTACCAAAGCATAACTTGACTTTGGCCTTCAGCAAGTGGCAGGTATTGCAAATACACTGCTTTTCTCTAAATATCAACTTGAAAAATACACATACACTAAAGATGCATTTCTCGCAGAAATGTCCTTGGCTTTTGGTACTGGGAAATGTTTTAAGGAAAATTTGTACTATACAAATGCAAGCACTATATGAGGTTATTTTTCTGTTTTATAAAGGTTATAAAGAGCCAAATTCAATAGACACAGTTCCTGTAAAGACAAAGTTTGTGCCAGAGTCAGGATTTAGCCTTCAGCGTTCCAAGGTCTTCTCTAGCACCAGTATCTCAAATGAAATCTTCAAACTTGACTCATAACGGCCAAGACTCAGCAGAATAAGTCTAGGTTAAGCACCTGCCTACCCCGAAGTAGACAATATTTAAATTACTTAAAATTAGATTTGGTTTTAAGAATTTGTGAAGTTTAAAAAATTGTCAAGTAACAACCAAACGTACTGAAGGATTCACTTAGAATCCTTTCAGGTAGGATCATTATATTAAAATTCTAAAGTAATTTTCTTGTACCTTCTGCTTTGAAATATGGAGAAGTTGCAACTTGGGAACTTTGGTTTTGGTTGATCTCAAGTATGAAAATGATCGAGGCACCTAAGACTAATCATGTGATCTATGCAATAAAAATACACTTGATTCTGTAATCAAGACATTCAGAAGCCAAACTAAGACATTAGTGAACCAAATGCTTCTGATTAATTTTATTGCATGTAGTTATTAGTTGATATTTCTAGGTCTGGGTGGGAGCTGAGAGCAAAGGAAAGAAATTAAACGCTGCATTGCAACCCAAATTAGTATGGTCTTGAGGTTAGTGGAATTCTTAAAATTTGGGTTGTCCTTTTACCAGGTTGGCAGTTGCAAGGGAAGGCGAGGAGATATCATACCGCAAAGCAGTATCCACCAAAATTACTTTATTTAAGAGCAACCATGTTTCACCATATTCCAATTTGAAGTATTTCAGTTGCCACCTTTTTTGTCATATATAACACTTGTCATTCCATGCACCCACCTCCCTACAGCCATGTCCTTGAAAGCTTTTAGTGTGATTATCACTAACTATAAGAGAAGGCCTCTTTTGTGCTTTGAATGTTGTATATCACTTCAGTAAGACCTAGGTGCCTAACTCCCTTAGGTGCCTTCAAAAATCCCACCTGCTGCCTATGTGTGTTTTAGATTCCTAAATACCCTGTCAGTGTATGCCTGGAAAACTGTGACAAGATACAGGTGTATGAATGAAGGCACTAAACATACACTGAAATAAGCATCTAATTTTTTTACTATTGTCCTAGCTATAGCTTTAATAACTTAGGAGCCACCTAGTTGCATGGTTTGGAAATTAAAGCAGATGGCAAGGAGTCACAAAATGAAACAGCTTTACAGAAATATTGAATTCCTCAGACTACATTTCACAAACTCTGCCTCCAGAAAAATGTGGTTATTTTAAGCTGCGCTCTCAGTGCAGCCAATTTGCTGAGGTCGGCGTGCCCATTGATGATGCAAAGGTTGCACATAGCTTGATCTGATGCAGTTTGGTCCTAGGTGGTGGTAGTGCCTTTGGGCTGTGACAGTGCCCTGCTGCCGCAATGGGCCAGGAGATCCTGTCTGGTCAGGTGTGATGATCCAGAGGCTTTTCTAAGTGACTGAGAACCAAATGATCTCAAAGTTGTCCAGAAGGAAGGGCATGTGGGCCAACCAACGCTCCTTTTGTGGAGCCTGCCATTGCTTTTTGTCACTGTCACTCTGGTAGATTTAGCCATTTGGATGGCAGTTCCAAACTTCTTGTTGTTAGAGTCAAAGACCATTTTACAGTGAGCTCAACAAGAGCAAATCGAATCTGCTGGAGAGGCAGGGCCAACACTGCTAGCAATTTAAGAGATGCAGAAGTTATCAGATGGACTCAAATGCTGTGCGATTGTCTGAAAACCAGACAGCTGACAGCATAATTTGAGCCTTTTAATGTTTGCCTTCGGTTTTGAGTCTCTTCACCTTTTGTTTTTATTCTCTTTTGTACAATCCCAAGGGCTAGACACTTGCTGGTGATAATTCAGTACCATGACTTCAAGGACTGGGATTTTACTGAACAAACAAATTTACTAGACTCAACAGAAATCACTGAGATTAGACAATATTATGGTATCCTTTGATATTTTCCCAGGGGGTAGCTGAGAAGTCAGAACTGAAACTAAATATCCTGCAACATTGTCTACATTGATTTTGAGTCCTATCTGATTATCAGTTTTGATTCCAGTTGTGTTGCAACTATGTGAACTATGAGTAATGAAAACACTTTCAATTCCTTTAAACAAAGTTCCTTGAACTTTCAAAAGTGAACCACATGCTTCTGATTCATTTTATTGCAGATCTAGAGGAATTATTAGGATAACAAAATTTTCCAGTGAGGCTAGCAATGATAGACTGGACATTGAGGTACAGTCATGTTCCCATACTTCCAGTTATTTCAGATGCTGCAGAGGCAATGAAACCTCAAAGGTAGAAAATGTCATTTGAAAACTGAATTACCTTCTGACTTCAATGGGAGTTTGGTCAGTGTGAGGACTCCCAGGTTCTCTTCTCTATTGCAAGAAAAGGACATTCAAATTGACCATGCCTGGGTGGAGACCATAGGAGGAGATGCAATTTCCATGGCTTACTGCCTGCCGCCCTGCCCAGGGCTTTGCACGCACGGTGAGGATGGGTTATATCCAATAGCTTTCCTCCACTTCACATCCTACAGCATTCACAATGGGAGATAACGCCGGTTCTGCCAGAAACCTCTCTGCTACACATGTTCAATACAAGCTTGAACAAAGGACAGGGTCCTGGGACCAGGATTTGAATGCAAAATGTGCACTATCACCGGAAGAAAATGTTTACTAATAGTCTGGTAAATGTCACCTGCCAGCACTAATTCTTCTATATCCTGGGTTCATTCTTTTTCTCCTCTGCAGAATAATATGCTCACATTTCTTATCATCATGGCCCCCAGGCATCATGCTGTGCAGTAAGATGAGGAGAATTTATAAAATTTATACCATAGTGCAATTGCTGCTGGCACATCAAGTGCTAGATGCCAGCTACAATGTATTCATAATAGAATTGATGCATATTTAGATATTTTTAAGTAGCAAATGCTCCATCTGAAAACTAGCAGAGTTTTGCAGCCTCCAGGAAATTTACAGCTCTAAAGGGGAAATTTGGAGCTTGTGAATGTTCTGACAACAGATTACAAATCCTGCTTTCAAGCCTTTGTTCTTAGCATCCAAAGTCTATCTGAAGTAAGTGGTAGAAGCAAGAATTTATATTAAGTAAACCATATTTGCGTAAACAAAGTCTAAGCTGAAGTAACAGACACACTTCCCTTTTTATCTTCCAGACATTTTCAAAATATGTCTGCATAAAATCCAAATTCAGATTCACCTTAGCATACTGTCAAAAATATGTTGATTTGCATGGTCTTCTTGCCCAAGCCGAAGGTTGTGCTCTCCACAAACCTATGCTTGCTCAAAGCTGTCAGGATATGGGCAAATTCCCACTGAAAGTTCTGTGCTCAGCTGTACTTTACTCACTCGCACGCAGTGTCTGTGGACCTTGCTCACATCTGCATTAGATGCAGCTGGAATGAGGGCAGGCCTGTGGAAAAGATAACATGGACATACAACTTGCCTGCAGTTAACCAGAGGCTTGGATAGGGAATGAGGAGCTGTCTTGGGAGAGAAAACCCCAGGGATAAGAAGTGTGAAAGACGAGCCAATAGGCATGTAAGCCACTAATGAGAATAGAGAGCTGTTGCTAAGTTATAAACATGCTAATTGGTTGGTAGGGTTAAAACAGAATCTCTGGGGAGGGGAACTGCAAAATACTTCAGCAATGCCTATGGCTCATCTCTTTTTGAGTCAGTTATGTTCATAAGCCCTGATCTGTTCCTCTGC